ATGCTGTTAAAATTGAAAAGTCCCGAGTCGTCATTTTTCTCTGTGGCGCAATCATCCCAACTTCGTCAACTATCTGCCAAAACGTGAAATGGAATAGCCTCACCATTCACCCACGATGTGTTGGAATAACTGAAAACATTACATATACATATATTTGTAAAGAGCCCCTTGTAATTATAATAAACATGTTTTGAGTTCAATAATGCAGTAAGTGTCACGCAATCTTCACAAGCGTACCCAATCATTATAAGAGTCAGATGTGCTACCTACCCCCATTCAACATAGTGGTAACTTACCAGTTATGCCACAAAGCTATTAAAATTACTCATATTCTAATGCAGTTAAAACATTGCAAAACTGTACCTCTGTTATTGCATCTACTACTTGATTCCTTCATACAGCGAATTTTAAATACTTTCCTGACCCTACATTTGCAATAAAAGATGCCTCAAGCCTGGACAAGAAATATTAAAGAAACAAATTTGAAAGGATCTGATTCATTTAATTCCTCTTGGAAAAATGCCAATGCAATTCATAGAATTTTCACATCTAAGAGTTGAACACATACATAACTATGAAAAGAGAAATCTTGCACTGAGACTGACTGTGGTTTTTATAGCAGTAGCAAGTCCTGAGTTGTTGCATGAATGAAATGACCATTAAATGACAGTATGTTTCTATTGGTTACAGAACAAAGCAAGCTCTAAGGTTTATGTAAATTTTTATGTTATGTAGGAACAACAGATGTGGATAATACAACTGTAGAATTTGTTTGTATTAATTATGGTACTTTTCCATTATGCACACCTGTGACACTTTTTTGATGCCAATAAAAGAGAATCCAACAGATGCCAAGACCCAATGATAGCACCGTCTGAGGATTATATGTATATATAAGTGTGTAAACAAGAATAATTAAACACACACACATATAATTACCATAGCACTGCCCAAATGCATGGCGGAGCATAAGGGAAAACTACCTTAATGAGTTTAACATTAATAATTATTTATGTTTAAAACTGAATTTTACTTATATCAAGTCAACCATGTTCTTTACTGTAAAATAATAAAATGATCATGTTGTTTATTGCTTAATTTTAATATAAGTGTGATATAAATATGTATAAATATTTTAAATATGTATGTATGTACATATACATTTCTCAATTCAATTCTGATAACAGGAAAGTACCTAATAAGTAGGGGTGCACAACATTTTTCACTCACAGAAACAACTTGGCTGCCAGGGCCAATAGCATATATGCAAAAAAAAAAAAAAGGGGGGGGGGAGTCAATGTAATAAGTTGTTTAATTTGCAATTCACACATGTACCATATCAAATTTAAATTGATTTAGAGATCATTACATATATATTTAAGTATCATTACATATATATTTAAGATCATTACATATATATATTAAGCAAGGAGGGAGAGAGTTTCCCTTTCCCCATGCATGTGCTACTGGGGCCAACACACCCAGTTCAGCTTGGAAAAAAGTTTATGTTTGTGCATCCTAATTTAATGCATAAATATTTTAATAAAAAATGCATACCAGTTAGCCATAATTAAATATATTAGTGTAATGGTTGAGATGAAATTTTATCAACAATTTTTGATATATTTGGTTGAAAGCTAGTTATTGATATTCTTAAGACAGAATGCAAGTGTTGATCTGTCAGCTTATTTCTTAATTTTGACTTATTTAGATTCATAAGAGAAAATTTTTGTTCACACACATACGTATTACCAAACTTGGTAGCACATCTGCTTGCATTATTTTTTAAGTGAAAAAATTTGGCAGGTACAGCTTTAAGTCAAGAATGTTTAAATCACGGAATCTGGATTTGCATGTCAGAAATTTGTAAATCAATAAGTTCCATTTGAAAATTTTCTGAAGCTTTTTCGATTACAACAGAAAATAGATCCCCCAACAGTTAACCTTATGCAACTCAAAATCTGTAAACTGCTTTTCAAATGAAGTGATCTGAATAATTCAGTTGTTTATCAGGAAAATTTTCTTTTAGTTTCTTCAGGTAAGGAAAATTGGCAAAATTTTGATAGCCAAGCTGCTTTGAGAGCAGCTGGAGTTTTAAATTGAAAGCAGATATTGCATTGGCCAGTTGACTGATTAATTGTCTTTTCCCCCATCACATTTTTGTTTAGGTAATTCAGATGGGCTGTCAGATCAACTAAAAATGCTAAGTCACACTTGAAAGATGATTCCTTTAACATCCTAGTTTGCTTACCTTTTTCTTCAAGGGATATTATTATTTCATCAATCAAATCAGCAAACCTTTTCAAAGCCTCTAATATGGCACAACCACCGTACTTAAGAGTAATATACGAGATCACTGTGGTGCATCTGTGTATTCTAGGATTTCTTTACATTGCATGTGGTTTAAACCATGTGAGTGAGTACAATTGATTGTATCGCTCACTACTTTTATTACGTGGTCTAATCCTAGTTCTTTCGGACATAGTTGTTCTTGGTGTACGATAGCTGATACCCAAGCAAATCTTTACCTCGATCAACCAAATGGTTTCTCAATAGACTCACCATGCCATTCTGAATTCCAATTATGTTTGAAGCTCCAATAGTAGTTTGTTAGTGTCAAAATTATGTGCAGAGCACAAATCTAAAAGGGAAAATAAAATATCAGCTCTACTTATTTGTGCCTTCATTGAACTCATTCTAACAAGTTCTTCAGCTACTTTAAAATTTTCAGAAATTCCTCTAACAAACAAAGCCAACTGAACTGTTGAAATAATGTCTGTTGACTCATCAGCTGATAGAGAAAAGTACTTAAATTTGGCAGCAGTAATCTATAATTGCTCATTAACATCATCAGATAAATTTTCAATTCTTTTTTGAATTGTTATTCTGCTAAGACTCACATTTTTAAATTTCTTCATAAGTTCAGGGCATACTTTCATGGACGCCAACAATATACACTCCTTTTCAAAATTGCCATCAGTAAATGGGTTGCCACTTTTAGCAATTAAAACTGCGATTTCCAAACTAACTACAACATAGTCATCTGATTGTGAATATGCCTTTGTAAATACATTCCTTTGTGCATCGAGAAAATGGGGAAGAGATTCGATTTCACAATTTCGATCTTTTACCTCAAGCTTTGAAAATGTCGAGTTTTGTGTCAAAGTGTCGCTTAATATTACATGCCTTGCGAACACTAATTGTAAAATTATATATCAAGCATGAAATTCTATTATCTTGTTCCACATTGGTTCCTCTCTTTCTAAATAATATTAAAAAAAAAAGTGAAATATTCAAAACAATAAAGTTCTTAATGGTCTCAAAAAGAAAAATAAACACACAAGTGATAAAACAATGTAGAATCGAGAAGTCAAAAGTGCAACAATGCAAAGCAAATTAATGCAATGCTTCTGATCCGAGCAAATATTTTTCTCTCTTTTTTTACTAGCGCATGCATGCAAACACACTCATACTACATCATACCACAGACGCTTATTCAATTGGTGCGTTGTACAGGCTAGATGCAGTTTTCACACTCAGGCGGTGAAATTTGCTTTGGTCAGTGCCAAATTTCACTTTCAGAGGAGAGAGTAGAACGAGTGATGAAGGGGAAGGCGGTGAAAATTTTCCTGCTTGCAACCCCTTCTAGAGAAAACTGATATGTCAAATTGCAACAAAATTTTGAAGAGGTCTCAGCAGGCCACAGGTGGTGCATCCCTATAATAAGTGATTCATTATTATAGATGCTCAAAGTTTAGACTGTAAAAGTTTCTTTTGTGAAAGCCTTTATAATCGCTTGGACATGTTTACAGAAAATTAAGGTACTTATCTTCTGTAGCAGCCTTGGAGAGAAAATGAATTTGTGCCTTTCTGCACTGACAAGAAACAGTTACTGATCTGCATGTGTGTGAGAAACAAAGAGTTGCTGAATTTTTTTTTTTTTTTTTTTTTTTTTTAAATATATAACTACACAATGTCAACATAGCAGTTTTTCATTTTAAAAATCTGCTTATTATTTCCATTCTTCCATAAGTGAAAGAAAAAAAAAAACGCTATGGTTGATTTTCAAAGCATTATTTGCAGCAATTGCTAAACTGCGGCTACCCGAAAGAGTACGTAAAAAATTAATTTTTCAGTATTAATTACTTTGTATTAAGTAAAATAATAAATAGGATTTTGGGGCATGTTTAATAATAAATGGTATTTTCTGGCATGTTTATATATATTATTAAAAATTTGCTTAAATCATTGTATTATATACGATAATTAATATATATATAATAAATTTTGTTAAATAATGTTATTTTAAATAAATTGCTGATAAAATTGTATTAAAGGCTATAATAAATAGAAATTTATATTAAATTCCTTCTCTTATTATTTATTATATAGTCACTGAATGTACTGCCAATTTATTGTTTACTGTGGTCAGTTTTGTTTTCATGGATTTTTAAAACATTTGCCAACAAACTGCACTTTCGTAACCCCAAATCATGCCAACACTGTTTTCTGTCACCAATGCTGCTACCCCCCCAAAAAAAATTATAGTTGTGTCTATCATGAAGAATTCTCACCTGCTATTTCTGTTCTCTGCATACATATTTATAGTCTTATATAAATTGATTTTCATTTACTCTTTACCAAGCTCCTAAATTTAACATATGACTGAACATGTTAGATTTTTAGGTGAAAATTTAACATGAACAACAACTGAGTTTTTTTCTGAGTAGGATGAAATTCCCTTATCCAGAGTATTATACAAATAGTTTTCTCTTTTATCCATATTTCTTATTATTTTGCTTGTTAGTTTCATTCTCAGAATTTATGACAAGTAAATAAATTAACAGCTCTTGATAACTTTAAAGTTATCAACAAATGGGTCAACAGATTAATCTTCTGAAAATAATTTTAATATGTTAATTTTAATGTTAGCCATAAAATATATATGTTCTTATTTCTTCTTACTTTATGATAATAAATAATAATAAGTAAACACTTACATGTCTTGATATGAAGCAAGATAAAGGTCCAATTTCAGTGAAAAGTCCAACCTAAAATTATATTAACCACATCAGAATATGACACTATGCTTCATAGTCAACAATAATTTAAAAAAAAAAAGAGGCAAACAATATTAAAACTATCAAACCTTGTTCACTTGTGTAACTACTGCATCTAGAACTTCACCTTTAAAAGGACGAAAGACTATAGCTTTGTACTTCACTGGATACACAACAAACCCTCTTCCTGGCTGAATAAATCCTGCCCCAATATTGTCAATAGTTGTCACAGCAATGACGAACCCATGCCTTTAAAAATACAAATTTATATAAGACTATGTGGACAAAAATTTAGGTAATAACTTTACATATGACCAAATACATGCAAACAAATATGTAATATGCATAACAGGCTTATGATACAAACTGATATACATATTTCATATATTACAATATATATAGGTATGCATAGCTTTCTGTCAGGGTTGCCACTCAAAAAGGAGAATAAAATTCCCTGACATTTCCAGGTTTCTCAAGTCTCTTTTAAGAAAATTCCAATCTAGCCACATAGTGCACATCGGCTATGCTGCGGGTAAATTAATTACGGTACCACTTTGAAAACACAAAATTTTGCCAATGAGGCTTTCATAAATAAATAAATAAAAACTTGTTTTTGAATTCTCAGACCACTACTATTATAACTATAACAGAAATTCCTCAATATTTTTTAAATTCCCTTTTTGTCTAAGAAAACCTGTTATACAATATTTACATACTAAACCACCATTCTCTTCAGAAATCAATTGTGTCACAAAATTAGTTATAAGTGAAAAAAAAAAAAAAAAAAATCCCTTTTTAATTACATCAGCAGTAATTGTTAGACCATCTGAAATATCTGCAGTCACTGACACTGAAATACATTTCTAATATTATGTCACCACAAATATATAATTAGCTTAAAAATATAACTTAAAAATTTTACTTGCATAAAAACATATATTTACAATACATTCATTCCCTCTAAGTAATAAACAGAATCAGAAATGAAATTCATTTATTTTTCAGTGCAATGTGTAAACTTTTAAAAACTGGATTTTTTCCATCATTAATTGTGATAAAATTATATCATGGATGGCAGCTTTATCATTTTAGAAAGTATTGCAAATAAAATCCGGAATGGAAGTTAGTATTTACAAAATGGCAACAGGGAAACTGTTATAGCTAGCCTATTAAATAATATACAACTGCCAAAAATCACCTCTGTAATATAACGACAGTTGCTAAATTCCGAGAGATTAAAAAAGCACATTTTTTAAAGAATTCAACAAACCTTTGATGACTTCAACTTTAGAGTATGAGCATTTATAATACAAATTAAATGGAACTTTTGATCAGAATTGAAGGGAAAATAAAAAAGACATTTATAAAGTTTACACCATTAATAGAAAAATAAGAATAAAAAATTGGCACAAAACTAGATTTGTTGTTTTAATTCTACAATTTATGAGTCAATTCAACAAACATCTCTGCTCAATTTTTGCTTTTATAACTCAAAAATTTTAATCTCAGCTTTTCTTTTGTCCAATAGGTTCTTTCTTTCTTTTTTTTTTTTTTTTAAATCTTCGCTATCACATAGCTTTCTCTCTTTGAGTGTTTGATGCTATGCACTACGAGCAGATCTGGCATACCGTAACATATCATGAGTTATATTAATATTTACCACATCTTCATTTATTTCTATTGGCATCATAATAGTTTTTATTAAAATTTTTCCAGAAAGTTTTCCATCAAAATTTGTTTATTAACTGAGAAACCTTTCCTACTATGGCACTGCCACGTAATAAAATCAGAACTAGTTTTACAGCACTTCAGAACTGAACTCAAAAGCTGAATTATTAATCAAGTCATCATAAAAGTTATCAAGTCGCATTGCAGCATAGTTTACTAAAGAGTCTTTCCTAACACCCTTACTTCTGAATAACAGTTCTTTTGACTGCACTTTAGATTTACTAGCAACTGTGGTATTTATATGTTCACTTTCATACAGTATATGCAATAACCTCTTCATCCTGTTCTCACATTAAAATTCATTAGACATAAATGAGTTTAGGATCTAATGAAGAAATGTATTTGACCAAGCTATGTGTAAATGGGCATCTTTCATCTATTTCTGATGCAAAAAGGTTCTGCACCAGGTTCTGAACTCTTTTTTTTTTTTTTTCCCTTGAGATCAGACACTCCATCTTTTAGCTGAACCTGCACCAGCAGCACATCCACATCTATACCTGCAACATTCAAATAAATGGCTTGAACCTAAATATCTGTTTTGATCAATTTTTCAGGAGTTTTTGGCCCCTCACAGTAAATTTCTTTTGGCGAATTTTGAGATGCTGTTTTAGCATAATATGGAAAGTTGTACAGAAAGGGACACATAGGATCAGCTGCCACCAAAAGAAGCTTATCTTTAACAGCTTCTCTCAGTCTTTCAAATGACACAGTCTTTGGTAGCTCGAATGATTGTAAATATTTTTTTACACGATGAAATATATCAATAGCTCACTCAGCAACAGGTATGCTTTCATACCATCTTACTTCACAAAATTTTAAGAGGAACAGCCGTACAATCAGTGATAACAATATAATCTGCTCATTGAGCAGGACTACCTTCCAATACTCTATGCATATCTTTAAATAATGCACTTAAGATTCCAATCAGTGGCTCTATGCCCAGTTCTAAAGGCACTGTGAATGGCACGCAAACTACAGGACCTAGTATCTAATATAATATTATTATCTGCTACATTTTCTTTCAAACCTCTAAACTGCTAAATCTAACAAAAAGGTCCATTTGACATCTCTAACTTCATCGAAGCATATTATGAATTTGGTCAGAAAAGATCAGAAATGAGCATCTTTTTGTAGTATGGAGGTAAACCCAATGACACTAAATATGACATTTTTGTACATCCCAGAGTCGCAGCTTTAGTTTTATTGCTATCATCAAATATTTTCTGGAAAAGAAAAGCAGCATCATTAAATGCATTGAGAGAAACACGTGAACAAACAAGTTTCACAGTCCGCAGTAATTTTGCAGATAAAACCTTATCCTTAGTTATGAAGGGGTTTAAATTTGATGGTTCAGTAACTGGCAGCAGAGACTGCTGTGCTTCAGAACTGTTTTTATCTGTACAGAAATTTAAAAAAAAAATTTTTTTTAAACTCCCCCCCCCCCCCCCCCCCCCCGAGTTCATCTTCGTAGAAATGCTTTTCTTAGGCTTGATCCTGTTTAAGTGGCTTGTGACTGCTTTTCTTTCCATGTTACTAAGCATGATATTTTTTTGACAAAATATGCATCGTGTTGTGTTAGGAGATCCTTTAATAAGTTGCAACCATGAACTCCACTAAGGACTGAGATTAGAATCTGCTCAATCTGGATTAAAAAATGTCTTTCTGAAGATAATTTAAAGCTAAAGGAAAGAAAGAAATCTATTTAATAATAGTTAAAAATAAATTAGGTACTATTCGGTTTTGAGGGCCATAAAAAAATTACAGCGAAAATGTATGCGCAAAAGCGCCAAATCTAGCAAACGCGTTGATTTCAGATTGCGTAAGTTTATATAGTTCTATATTTCTTAAGACGCCATTGACATACTAGTTTAATTTTTAAATCTTTTTTTCCTATCCTATGGATTTAACAATTTGGGAATTGACCATGATGAAAAGTCGGCAATAGAATTTTGGGTAAAGTGCAGAATCACCCACTGCTTGACGCGGTCTTAAGAATTGCACATACTCGGTATCCATGTGCACATCGACCTATTTTCGCTTAAAAAAAAAATCCTAGAATTGCACAAAAATGGCACTGCGCACACCCTTGACTTTATCTATGTACACATCGACCTATTTTCACTTAAAAAGTAAAAGAAAATTGACAAAAATTCAATTGTTTTTACCCTTGTAAAAAGCGGCAAACAAATAAGCGAGCGATTCTGCACTTTACTGAGAATATTTTCAAAGAAAAGGCATCATTCATTATAGAAAATTATGTTCGAACAACCAACGAGATGAAATTATGCTTTAGTGATGAGTCGGTAGCGAAATAGCGATGCAGGGATCCATTCAGTTATGTTTAGCCTTTTTCATATAAATTATAATAATAAAAAAGTATTATATGAAATTAACCTTTTATCTAAATTAAAACATCAATCTTAAATAGTTATTTACTATTATACTTCCTTTCTTTCCGCAATTATTTTTGGCAGCATTTGCATCAACAATAGTTTGGCGAATTTTTACGGCCCTCGAAACCGAATAGTACCATAAATTAAAATATTTTACATTCATAAGCAAAAAATATGGACATTTAAATATGTGATGTTACGTCATGATACTGATAGAATTAGTTTCACAAGTGCCAGAGAAAACTGCCTGAGATTTGAAAGTATTATTAAGTAATAATAAATAAATTTAGAAGGAAGAAACCACATTAAATGATATGAATAACATTAAAATAATGTTATTTACTGAAAGACTGAAAAAGATTAAAAGCTGAATTACAATAATCAATGGTATTTAGGTGAATATGGATATATTAAATGGTTAGCTTAGATGATTGTTTATTTTTTTTTAAAGTGTTAGTGCAAAATGACAAATAAGGCATTTATTAAAATGAAAAAAAAGCTTTAAAAGGTTTGTTTTATACAATAATGGGAGGGAGGACTCATCAAAATCAGAAATTTCAAGGGTAAAAAGGATTGATTATTATTTAATGCCTTTGTTTTTGAATTCAACCATGAATTTCACTACCATTTGTTTCTTGAAAATAAGATTTTACATGCAGATTATTTAAAAATTGAAACAACGTAAAATCAAGTTAAGATCATAAATATTTTAGCATTTTACCTAACAAAGTATTGTATAATTTTGAAGTATGATACATCCATGCTGCCAACAATACTAAAAAGCTTAAAAGTTTAATTTCATTTTTTTGGTAATTTAAAAGTATCACATTTATTTTAATATTAAAAATGCACTGCATGAATTCTTATCATTTTAACAAGCAAATACGGTAGAATGTTAAATAAACACATATTTAAAAAAATATTTAATAATGTGTAAAAGATTACAAAGATTCATTTACCAGTTTTTTTGACTGGAGATGACATCAGAAAAATAAGTTCTATAAAGCAAGAGGAAGAATTTTCTTTCATTCAACATGCGCAGATTTCTTGTTTGTTGTAAAGACATGAGAGTCATGCTCTCTGCAGTGTGGAGATTACTGAAAACTTTCTTTGCTTTTCTGAAAGACAATCTGATTGGCACTGCGAAAACTGGCTCTACGTCAGCTCTCCGAATTACACTCATGCATGACACAATTCACCAAGAAAGTGATCCGCTTCCACATTGGTGGAAAAAAAAAAAAAAAAAAAAAAAAAAAAAAAAAAAAAAAAAAAAATCACTCTTTTAGAGACTGCTGTGTGAAATTCTCCAACTATTCCAGATTTTGGCTAAAATATTTTATTTCTCTGACTTTTTTGGGTCAGTTTTTAGAATTTTTCCTGGTTTTCCAGGTAGTGTGTCAAACCTGTCCTATAATACCTATCAACGCATTCAAGATATAAGTTAATTTTTATTACTGTATTTTTACCCTGCAATTTGAAGGGTGGAAAAATAATTAAAATTTGTGTTCTGCTTTCTAAAGAACAATAAGCAGTGGATAATTTCCAAAGTTATAGAATCCTACCATTTAAAAAATAAAGAAAAGAAAAAAGAATGTATGGGAACAATATGGTCAGCTGCTTTCTAAAGAACAACCTGTGGATTATTTTTAAAATTATGGAATCCTATCATAAAAAAGAAGAAAATAATGTACATATTTATGGGCACGACATAGTCAGTTGAATATGACCGACAAAACATTGCACTGAAGCAACTATTCATAGAAAATTTGTACTGATAGCAATCTAAACAGAGCTTCCAGCAAAATCAGAGGATCAAACAAACTATCGGGTTGTCCGAAAAGTCATTGGTAGAAGATGGCAAGTGTTAATTTGCGGAAGTACTAGAGTACTAGAATTCATATCCATGCAATCATTATGCCATGAATTGCTGAGAGGTTGAGCATTGTGTGTACTAATGCTGATTTTTGTTTGGTTTGTTTTACAAACTTGACAACACATGCAAGATAGAAGATCAAAAGTTGTTCCCACCATATATTATTACTTTACTTCAGGAAAGAAACAAATGCTTAACAAGCCCATGAAAAGTTGCATAAAGTTAACGGCAGCAATGCTCTGCATGAATGTCAGTGCCAATGCTATTTTATGATTTTGATCTTAACAATGCCTCTTGGTCAAGAAGGTTAATGATGACCAAATAAAGGCATTAATTGAGTCAAACCATCATTACACAACACGAGAGATTGCAAAAATATCGAATATCCATCATTCAATTGTTCACAATCATCTAAAGAAACTGGGATACATAAGCACTACGATATGTGGGTTCCTCATGAAGCTCATTTAATAGCACAGATAAACATATGTGACATGCTCATTAAACCTGAGGACAATAATTCTTTTTTGAAGCAACTTATAACTGGTGATGAGAAGTGCATCATGTACAATAATATGGTGCACAAACCCTCATTATCCCGAAGGGGTGATCCGCCTGAAATGACACAGAAAGCAGACATTCATGAGAAAGATTATGCTTTCAGTGTGGTGAGGGTTTAAAGGTGTTATATTTTTTCAGCTTCTACCTGAACCAAACAATCAGTTCTGAACTGTATGTAGGCAACTGAACAGTTGAACGAAGCCATCATCCAGAAATGACCAGAACTCATTAATCACAAAGAGATCATGTTCCATCTGATAATGTAAACCACACAAAAGTTTGCTCACCCATCAAAATCTTTTACAGCTTAGATGGGATATAGTGTGACACCCTCCATATTCACCTGACCTTGCACCATAAGACATCTGCTTTTATGCTATCTTCAACAGTCTTTGTATGGTATAAAATTCAATACTGATGAGGCTGTAAATCAGCACCACCTTCAGTTTTTTACAGATAAAGACAGACTTCTATGAACAAGGAATTCTGCAGCCTGCTGAAAAATGGCCTAAGATTATTGAGCAAAATGGACAATATATCACTGATTGAAATGTATTCTTTGTGTCATCAAGCTTACGTTGTAAAACATAGATCAAATGCACCTGACAAATGGATAGTAGAAAAAGACAAAAGCTTTTTCATACAACGCAAAAATAAAGTGAGTCGTATACTTATCATTTATTAAATAAAATTCAGTTTCTTTTGAATTTCACAGGAACATTTGGCACAACTTTGGTGGGATTTCCACCAACTTTCATGGTCAACAGGATTAAGCAGTGAAATGTGTTTGTTTTATATCATATGCAAACTGTCATTGGGCACTATTCAAATTGAAAATATATATATTTAAACAAATGCTTAATTTTTTTCCCTCTGAGACTAAATTATAGCTAATATAAAAGGAAAGAAAGCTGTTTGATAAAACTATATTATTAAGTATAAACCACAAGAGCAAAATACCAAATATCTTACTTTCCAGTACATGTTCCTTCAACTTCAGTAAATAATTTTTGTTTTACCGTTTCTAAAAGTTGAGGCCCAAAATATCTTGGATGTAACAGTATTTCATGCTCTAAAGAAATCTATAAAAAGAAAATATTCATAAAATAAAATTTTATTTTATATGGCTTGTATTTTTGAAAGCTGCTTAAACATATGCAAAATATATTAATTTAATTAATGCAAAAATAAATAGCTGATTAAATGATCAAACAAGCTGATTAAATATGCAAAGAATATTTTCAAGTATTAAGGAAATCAAAGAAAATTCATAACACAGGTTATTCAGTTTTATTAACGGTGTCAACTGCAACTACATTTTAAAGATGTAATATACACTGCTATTTTTCCGTTATGAACCTGCAGCACATGCTAGTGGGATCTTTAATGGTAAACAATTTTAATTACAAACAAATTTTAGTTCGATTTCAATTGTTTTAATTGTAAACAATTCTAGTTGTAAGAAACAGTTTATAGACTGCAAACACATACACTGGCTAATACGTGCCACATGCCGAAAAATAGGGTAAGTGCATAATGGAAAAGCATTCAAGAGTTTACTATTCAGGAATTTAAAAAAAAAAAAAAAATTCTTTAAAGTAATGTATATAAATATTTGCACAAAAATCACATAAAAATCAGAAATTTGGTGATTTTAAATCAATAACTGCATACTGAGGTTTAATATTCCAGCAGTTGTGGGATTCAGCAAGTATTTCTTCCCAAATATGCATAATATCCCTCAGTTGCAAATTTGCAATGCAAGCTGTGTTTGTTTGTACTGACTGCAGTGCATAACCAGAATGCAAACTGAGCTGAACCATTTTAACCATTAAAAGGTTAACTCATTCTGTTAATAACTACATATTTAAAACTACAACAATAGCAAAACAATTAATTGCAGTGGAAGTTTTGCAACACAAATAAAACAGAATAATTAAATTTTATTTACCGGCAAGTAAAATAACAATAATAATATAAAAAAAGGGGAACATACAAATCTGAAAGGTTTCAAATTTTAAATTGCATCCAAAGGGACTTTTTTTTAACATTTGTGTGTTACCTTTATTTATTAAATATCACGTTCTTTGTTTGCACTTAAACCATAAAATTCAGTTCAACAGCAATGTCGCAAAATAATTTTTAAATGAGCATATCTTTAAAATTTCTGATATGCAGTTCCATGCTGGAGATAAAGAGGTGCCTTTGGACTAAAAAACTGCATTTACTCCTCTTGATTTAATGACTACTTAATAAATGAGAGAATCACATATTAATTTTACTTCAACATTCCCAGAATTTACCACACTTCTTAATACACAACAGTATACAGAATATTAAAGCAACATATAAATTGAAAAAAAAAAAAAAAACTTCAATTTCAACATTTTAAAGTATTATTTTTCTTGCTTTATTGCAAAGAAGAACATTAATGACATTACTGAAGTTTATTTCATGGTATTGTTGCATAACAGTCAAATTGCCATTACCAAGGTGCTGCCACTTTTATGAAAACAGACCACTATACACAAACTGGGAATGGGACTATTCACCATGGCTGGTTCACCGCTGGGACGTTTAAAACTGCTTTATCATTTAATAGTAATTCAATTTTTACCTTGGAAAACTCTTTCACATTTAATAAGACGTATGTCACTTGCAATGACACTTGGTAGACTAGTGTATGCAAGTTCTTGATTTCCAGAATTTCAGTGTAATGAAAATAAAAGACAACAAGCTTAACAGTTTCATTATGATTCATTGCGACAAAATACAATGCAAAAAGAAATACTAATACTGCCACCACTAAATCATAAAAATCCTCACATTATCATGTACAACAAAACTACACATCTTTCCTTAATTAAATCACATTAAATATTCAGTGCAAAATTTCAATATCATTTAATTAATTTATCATCATTTAAGTGCAGAATTGCCCACTTATTTGTTTGGCACTTTTTACAAGAGTAAGAAGAAATGGATTTTTGTCAATTTTTTTAAGTGAAAATAGGTCGATGTGTACATGGATAGAATCAAAGGAATGCGCAATGCCATTTTTGTGCAATTCTGGGATTTTTTTAAAGTGAAAATAGGTCGATGTGTACATAGATACCGGGTATGTGCAATTCTTAAAAACGCGCCAAGCAGTGGGTGATTATGCACTTTTCCCCATTTAATAGTAAATGATCAGCAACTATAAATTCTTTTAAAACAAGAGCAATATATTCCAGAGGTCTTTTATATTCTGCTAAACTTAACAAATACCTCATATTAAATTAACAATTAGAAATAAATAAACTAAATAATTAATAAAGCAAATGGCATCATCTAGGAAGTGAAGCTTGAATAAGAAATGATTTGTTTATACATTGCTACCTCGATATACATTCTGGGCTGATCTTTGGAATATGGTAACTGGTAGTTTGGCAGCATTTTGGAGGCGATAAAGGTTACTACCTAGGACTTTAGTAATAATGTAAGAAGTACTCAGTTCCGATTACGCATTATTTTGTGTGAGGGAAATGAGAGGTCATGAGATATGTCATGTGACATTAATGGACGAATTACAGTTCTTTAATCGGAAAAGCGGGGAAATCTGGAAATTTTGTACTTAGCTTTATTCTGTGTTGTGTGAAACAGTGTTGGTTAATTTTTGAATCCCATGGCCGTAACTAAAGTGAATTCGAAATGGGTATTTAGGCATTGTGATAAAGAGAATTTTGCTTTTTATTTATTGGAGGAAGTATGGAGGAAAAATTAGATTAGGATTGTAAGCTAATTTTTATTAATTTAATGTATGTGCTTATTTATATTTTAAGTAGTGTTTTTGAATTTAATTATATTTTAATTAAATGATAGTTATTTTGTGAATTATATGTTTGGAGGAATTTGGTATACGTTGCAAGTGGAAGTAAACGTGCATGGAAATAATTTAAATATTTGACACTAAGTATTTGTAACCATTTGTAATGTTTGCAGTATGAATTCGTTGGTGCCATTTATAATATAATAGATAATTTAGAGGTAAAAGTTTTTGGATATTTTATTTATTTTATACGTGGAAATGTTATCTTTGGAAAGGGTATACACTTTTTTGCGATCAGGTAATTTCATATATGTTCTTTTTACCAGATTTAAAGATTCACAAAATTTTCATGCATTTTCGTGAAATTTTTCTAATTTATGAGAAAAAAGCAGTGTACATGGATATAGTGAAGAGTGTGCGCAATGCCATTTTTGTGCAATTCTGGGATGTTTTTTTAAGTAAAAATAAGTCGACGTGTACATGGTTTAGTGATATTTTAATTAAATGATAGTTATTTTGTGAATTTTATGTTTGTAGGAATTTGGTATACGTTTTGGTTGAAGTAAACGTGTATGGAAATAATTTAAATATTTGACGTTTATAATATAATAGATAATTTAGAGGTAAAAGTTTTTGGATATTTTATTTATTTTATACGTGGAAATGTTCATCTTTGGAAAGGGTATATACTTTTTCGCGATCAGGTAATTTCACATATGTGCTTTTTACCGAGTTTAAAGATTCACAGATTTGTTTTGCATTTTCATGCAAATTTTTGTAATTTATGAGAAAATAGCAGTGTAGATGTATAAAGTTAAGAGTGTGTGCAATGCCATTTTTGTGCAATTCTGGGATTTTTTTAAAGTAAAAATAAGTCGACGTGTAAATAGTTTATGTGTATGTGCTATTCTGAAAAACGTGCAAGGAGTTTGCGATTGTGCACTTTTTCTCAATTTTGCAGTTAATATTTTTCATGATTAAGCAGTTTTGTTACATAAAATTTCTAGCATAAGTGTAATTCGGCTAGTAGATTGTTAGAAAAAGTGTTCAGGAAATAAAAAGAAAAGAAACATGTCTTTACTTCGTGAAGACAAAATGGCTGCGGAAAAAAAAATAGAGGGTTGCTGTAGCAGAGTTGGTCGCCAAAAAAATCGCCAAGTTACCATAATCCAAAGATCAACCCATTTATGTTCCATAAAAGTTCTAGTATAAACGTAATTCGGCTAGCAGATTGTTGGAAAAAATGTTGAGTTAAAAAAAAAAAAAAGCACCTTTACTTCGTGAAAACAAAATGGCATCCAAAACAAAACTAGCAGGTTGCTGTAGCAGGGTTGGTAGCTAAATTTTTGCCAAAAAATCGCCAAGTTACCATAATGTAAAGATTTACCCATAAATGCTTAATCATGACGAAGATTAGGTGCGAAATTGGGAGAAAGTGCAGAATCGCAAACCGCTTCCTGCGTTTTTAAGAATCGCACATACATGGTATCCATGTACACGTCGACCTATTTTCACTTAAAAAAACATCCCAGAATTGCACAAAAATGGCATTGCGCACACTCTTGACTTTATCTATGTAAACATCGACCTATTTTCACTTAAAAAGTCAAAGAAAATTGACAAAAATCCAATTCTTCTTACTCTTGTAAAAAGCGCCAAACAAATAAGTGGGCGGTTCTGCACTTTAGCAGCGAAATTGTTTCTAAGTGCTTATTAGCTAAAATCACGATCAGAATTTTCCGGAAAATGTCACATGACATGTCTCATGATCTCTCATTTCTCTGAGACAAAATAATCTGCGATTCGAACTGTGTAGTTCTCAGATTATTGCCAAAGTAATTACCTAGTAACCTTTATCGCCTTACCAAAATGTCGCCAAACTACCTGTTACCATATTCTAAAGATTAGCCAATTTGTATTTTAGTATTAAGCAAAGTTATAAAAGAATAGGATTTTAAAATAGAAATGATGGGTTTTCATCCGCAGAGAACCCATTGGCGCTTCGGGAAAGAACCCGTTGGCGCCGTTGCATTTTTACTCGCCAAGCTCGCAGTTCATCGGCGATGAGCCGAGCCGCAAACGTGATTTTTAGTGCATGTAAATTCAAGTTAGCAGACAAAACAATATGTTAAGCATATGGTAGTAAAAATTCACAGATAATAAGCATGTAGATGTAAAACTAACTTGTTAAGTGTGATATACGAAAATTGTATTAAATTCAAGTTAGCACAGAAAAGAATATATTGAGTATAAGACAATATATAAGCATTTATAACGGAAATAAAAATTCATTTGAAAAATATAAATTAGTATTAATGTACTGAAATTAACCTGTTAAACGTGATAAACAAAAAAAAATTTGTCTTAAATTCCAGTTAACACAGAAAACAATATATTCCTTACACCAGCAGTGGTTTGCTAATTTTGATGACCATGGTGATGCATCAAACTATTCTGTCATCTTAGATAATCAATAACCTTTTTTACTTCAACTCAATCATCTATTTATGTCACACTTGCCATCCTTTGAAAGGTTATTGTTAGAAAAGCATTAACAATATATTACCTTGTTAAAATTTTACGCCAAAAAATTGATTTATTCTCATAATTTTAGATGACAATAATCAATAATAAAAATAAAAGCATTACTTAGTTATTTAAATTGCTGGTTCTTAGAGCTGTTAATAATTAGTTGTTAAATGAATATCTTCATACGGTATTTTGTTTAAAAGATCATTTCGTTTTATTTTATTAGCAGTTTCTAGTTATATCCCAGTAAAAAATACTTGGATTCATATATAGGTAGATTAAAAAAAATGTTAAATTATGGAACAGTTATACCAGACTTCACAGACATGCACAGAACACCAAATACCAGAGTGTTTATGTTACATACGATTGAAGCATATTAAATCAATTAGCACAAAAAAGAAAACTGACTATGTCAGGAAATAAATCATATTGTCACTTACATGATAAAACATTCTAGTTGAATCTTTTACCTAGCGCTTTAACAACATCAAACACCAATCACGATATCAACACAAAAATTGAATTCTGCAAGGTAAAGCACCTATAGAGATGAGTGGTTTTTCTCCTTATCAGTGAAAAAAGATAAGACTGGGAAACATAAAATTTTGAAATTAATTTTTGCGTGAATTTCACATTACGTTCTGACTTTAATCCAAGGAGGTTAGAATAGAAGAGGGGAGAGTTCGCAGTTTAATCGACTATCGGGGAATGAAACTCCACCGAACAAGCGGCGTCCATGTTTGTAACTTCAAAACATTGCATTACGGCAGTGAAACATACGTGTTTTAAGCTGTTGCGTGCATGTATTTTCCAATAAAAATATGTAAAATTTATAATGAAATACTTCGCTATTGTTAGTTTTTTGTTTTAACGTTATAAAGATGATATCGTTTGATGATACGTACAGAAAATCATTAAGAAATAGTTCGAAATCTAAATGCATGTTCATAACATTAAAGCCTTTAAAAATAATGTTTCTGCATATTTCAAGAATTTGTTTAGGTTTTATTACCAACCTGTTGGATGTACTTTTCAATTTTTCTTTTAAGAAGTGATATTTCTGATTTATTCACAATATTGTAATTTATTAAAGAATCATTTAAAATAATTTTAACCTGAAATTAATAGCACATAATTATCTAACAAAATAGTCACAGGTTGCATTTTTTTAAAAATGAAAGTTTTAAATAGATTCTTTTCACAACCAACAACCTTATAACAACAAGAAGAAATAAATAGTTAATAAAATAACAACAGATTTATGTGAATTCGATGAATTTCAGTTTATGCGCGTTTCATAGTTATGAATCTCAAAGAATTCTGTAATTGCCTTGAATTAAGCTGATTACAGAAATATACCTATACCTATATTTTGGATACATCTTTCCGTACAAGTTCAATTGTGTAAATATTTTACTTACTTTTATCGCTATATTGCCCAGAAATTTGTAAGTTTATGCAAAAAAAATTTTAACAGCAACAGAACAGTTTATCTTGATCAAATGGCACAAATTATATTCCTAACAGTTCACAAAACTTAAATAATAATTAATACATAAAGAAAAGCATTACTTTATTAACACCTTTACAATTCATAAAAATAGTAAGAATTGGTGTCTTACTTTTCATCAAATGAATTACCTAAAACATTAAAATTATGCAGTTTAAATCCTAGTATACATCATTGTATGTTAAGGAACAAAGATGCCAGCTATAAAGAGAAACATTAAAATGTATTTAACATATTTTGATTATTATTAAGTCCTTTTGTTCACATCTGGAAAGAAAACAACATGACATTGTGATATTTTTTACCATAGTTATCAAATAACATAAAAAAAAAAAAAAAAAAAAAAAAAAAGAAAATCAATACTTACGCGTGAAAAGTAATCCCAGGAATCTTTTTCGAAAATCTGTTTGTACATCAATATACAACACAAGCTGACATGCTTCAAAAAGAAAAGAAAAAAATATTGCAATTACAGACTTCCTTGCATAAGTCACAGGATAACAGGAACATGGCCACCAAGCTTCACCGTTTGAGTTGAACCTTCCCTCCTTCTATTCTAACCTCCTTGCTTTAATCTTATGTGCAGAATCGCCCACTTATTTGGCGCTTTTTTACAAGAGTAGAGGAATTGAATTTTTGCCGATTTCCGTTGACTTTTTAAATGAAAGTATATCGATGTGTACATCAACAAAGTTAAGTGCAGCCTAATGCCTAGTTTGTGCAATTCTTCTGACTTTTTTTTTTAAGTGAAAATAGGTCGATGTGTACATGGATACCGAGTATGTGCAATTCTTAAGACCGCGTCAAGCAGTGGGTGATTCTGCACTTTCCCCTATCTTATTTACTTTCTTTCGCAAGAACATTACATAATTCTTCATACCAGGGTCTTCCTGATTGTAGTAATATATATAATATATTCGTTGAAATGAATGATAAATGTATATTTAATGTTTTTGTTTGCTTTATTAGTCCAAAGGGGGTTGGTCCCTGAAGGACTATTTTTTTCGTTTTGCGATTTTGCGTTGAAAACTTTAGAAGGCTATATCACTTTTCAAATCGTTGCATTTTTCTCGCATTGTGATAAAATAACGGCTCCTAGAGCAGAGCCATCCAAATTTGAATGACGTAATGCTACTGCATATATGGGCATCTGAAAGCCCAAATGTGAATTTTAGAATTTGTTTTATTATGGATTTCATATTTTGTAAAACTTTAACGAATTTTTGATTAACAAACTCAACGATTTAAAAGCGATCAATGGCAACACTCTACGGGGGGGGAATTATCTCCAGCGCGCGGAACTGTGTATCAGAAATTCTAAAGATTTAAAATTATTTTGCGACATTGTTTTATGGATTAAGCGCAAAGAACATGATATTTAATAAATAAAAGTAACACACAAAACGTTAAAAAAACGCCCCTTTGGATGCAATCTGAAACCTTTAAGATTTATTATTATTATTATTTATTCTGTTATGCCTACCTATTCTCGCCGACGTTCCGATATTACATATTCTACACCTTTGAAATATTTGTTTATGTACTGTGCGAGTAATGTGTTTTCCTTTTCTTGTATTTCATTGATGCCTAAATTATCGCTTTTGAATATAATATATAATGTAAATACTTTGTAAATACGGGCTTTATACACTACACAGATGTTCAAAAATTCTCACCAAATTTGTAACCTCAAGAACTATTTATCACTCGGAAAATCTATATCTCTTTAGTTACTTATGACTCTACAATAATTAAATAATTCATTTACTCATATTCTCAAATGAGCAAAACAAAAGTTACTCTAACTCTCTAATAAGAACAACAACATCATAGTATGTTGCCATTCTCTGAAACATAAACTGTTACGAAACATAGATAAAAATAATATGAATAGATAATGAATAAAAAAAATCTATAGAATAAGAAAACGAATACGTCTGCTTGAAGCTCGTGCAATATTACTCAGAAGCTGCAGTTAGAAAAAAATATAAACAAAAATATTAGAATCAAATTATTGTTCACAGACATGGATGGCGGTTTAACCGCAACTGGAATCTCAAACTTTAATTTACTTACTAACTGCAACTTTAACGTGTAGATTCGTTGATAATCGCTTGCAGACGCATGTATTCTTGTAATATGTTTTTGTAAAATATAAAAGTTGTTATGTTATGAAGGTGACTACCCCACATCTCAGGATTCATCGAAGGAACCCACCTTCCAAGCTTCTGGTCTACTTTCAAGAGACAAAGTGCTCCAAACTTCTTCCCCATCAAATTCACCTCAACTAGAGTATATATTTAACTGCGGATTTTACAAAGGTCAGGCTCTAAACGGGAATCCCTAAGGTACTGGTAAGAGCAGAGAAAAATATCTCCTGCTGTAAGCCAGTATACCGACGAAAGTATCAAAGTATCAAAAAGATAACTAAAGATTTTATTTTGCTAAGTGAATTACTGCTCTTCCAGTATCACGAAATTGTGTTATGACCTAGCACAGTGTTAATCCCATACATGAGTGAGAGAAACTATCATCAAAAGCCTAAGCATTTCCTGGTACAACTAAATATTGAATACTTTTTCTCTACCTCTTCAGCAGAGGTTCTTTTTCTCTTCTTCTTGTATAAATAAAACAGTAGAAAGAAGAAATTCACAAGAGTTCCCCTTACAAAAATTTAATTTTTAACTAATTAATCATTAATTAATTAATTAACGAATTCCACAGCTTTATAGAAATATTACTCTATAAATATTTTATAAAACTTTGAAAAGCCATCAGGTTTTCTTGAAGCAGTAGACGTGAAAAATATGCTATGTCCTCGCAGTGACTCGAACTCTTGACCTTTCCAATACGAGCCGAGTACGCTTCAATTTGCATCATGAAGGCGTGGGGAAAGGAGGAAGAAATACGCTTTATTCTCCCACCTTTTAAAAGGCGAATGGAGTTGGGGACTCAATCCTCAAATCTTGGTGGTGACGAATTATCTTCCACCACCTTTCAGTTCGGGCATCCCTTTTTGTGTCATAAGGGTTTCTTGAAGCAGGAGATGGGAAAATGTGCAGTCCCTCAGCGACACCGAATAGCGTCTTTTATGCTTTCAATCACACCATTAGGCATGCGGAAAGGACGAAGAAAACACCTTACATCTTTAATAGAACATGGTCCTAAGGGAAATTTGTTTTGTAAAAAATCATACAGAAATTTAATAAAGAGTACAGGAAACTAAAGAAATCCTCCAAACTTTTCGGAATTATCTGATTGAATTCTATAAAAAAATCCAATGTTAAACCTCTTTAGAATCTTTTACAATTATGGTATAATTTTCTGTAAACAAGATCACAAAACATATATAGAGATCTATAAAATTTTAGATACAGCTTCTAAAAATTCACATTGGTTCACCTTTAATTTTGGATATCTACATTTAGAAATTTCTTTGTACACATTTTTGAATTAAATATTGAATAATAGACACCAAATGTTTTTCTAATAGATTATTTATTCCCCACTTCAAGTTTTGAATGTCGCAAAAATGAATATCTACACTGCTGGCCATTAAAATCGTATCACAATAAAGGAAAGCAAATACAAAAAAAAATATTTATTGTGTGTATATAGGAAGACATGAAGACAAAATAATGAAATTTGTAAGTAGTCTGGAGGTTTACGGGGGTGCGAAATTGCTAGAAACACATGCCAGCCCTGGCAGCTAAGACGGCCCTTAACCAGTTAGGCATGGAGTCAAACTGAGCTTGGATGACCGAAAAGGACAAGTCATTTCTTGCTGTTTCAAGTCTATACCACACTTCATTCACCGTATTAGTTGGAGAGGGGTTGCGGGCCAGTCTCTCAGCAACCTATGATCAAATGTTTTCAATGGGTGAGAAATCTGGAGACCATGCTGGCCAGAGCAGCAATCGAATACCGTGTGTATCGAGAAGGTCAGAAAACGACGTGCAACATGTGGTCTTGCATTATCTTGTTGAAAATGGCGCTTGGGAGGCCTCGATGATTGGGTACAACGACTGGATGTAAGATGTCAGAAATGTACTGATCTGCGTTTAAATTCCTGTCGATACGAACTAGAGATAGGCGTTTCGTGTACCCTGTGGCTGGCCAAATCATCACACCAGGTGCAGGGTCCCTCTGCCGACATCGAATGCAAGCAGGCAACTTGCGGTCTCATTGGAGCCTCCATACACATATACTGC